ACCCCCACCCACCGCCCCGTACAACGACTTGAACATTCTTGTTTTCTCAGCCAACACAGGGCCAAAAGCAAAACAAAATAAATGAAAGCAAACGAATGCTTGAAACTGGAAAAATTATAATATCACAATGGAATTTGAAGCACATTCCTGTAGCAGCTGTCAACATTTTAACGTGAATTTGGAAGAAAATATTACAATTTGAGGACCTTTGATTATAAGATGAGTCGTTGTTTTGATAAAATATTTTTCCTTGAATTTTCCTATCAATCTGCCCATCAGTCCACTCCCCAAACACAACTATTTCTATGATTTCTTAGTATTTAACTTTTTAAATTGATGTGTTCGCTTATAAAGTGAAATAAAACTGAGGACTAGATCTTGGTTAAGCATGAGGTTTTTCCCCTCTTTCATTCATTAGTTTTTTTCTTCAAAAGCATCCACCTTGCAATTTGTGCTGTCAGAAACGGTGGCTCCCTCATTAAGAAAAATAGAGGCCATCAGACTGGTTCCACGGCAGGCACATTCAGATACCCTGAGAAGGCCGAGGTCAGCTGCGGTGGGGGAGATGGGGAGGGAGGCAGATGATGAGGCCAACTTCAAGCACGGTGTTCTGCCTAAACAAAGCAGTTTCCAAGAGGAAGACGGAAGATTCTGTGAATTCTGCTAACTACGCCTGCATGTATGGAACAGTTTACAAGGGAGTTTGGGTAAACGTCCTCCACAGACATCTTGTGAATGAAGCATGGCAGAGCATATGGCCAAAGAAGACTTTATGTGGTTGTCCTAAATTCCGTGTTTATTTTTAGCAATTCACTATAGGAACTGTCTCTGAGATACATTGTTGTTCAGGCGGTCACTCAGACTTACTAAATTCCTACCTTGCTCCAGGCTGGGTTACATGCTGGGCACATAAAGTTGAACAAGACTCATTTCTACCTGCAAGGAGCTTATCATTTAATACTGGGACATAGACATGAAAATAGTTTGCATTTTCTTCCTAAGTTTTTTCTTTCCCATCAGTGCCCTCCTATATTTAGTGGTCGGTGCAATTTAAGTACAGGCTCCTTGGGGACATGGAGACACAACCATAGAGCTAAACATGTAAGCTGGGAGCTCCGGGGAACGATCTGGGCCAGAAATATAGATTTGAGGGTCCTCAACATGTAGGATCAAGTTGAAAACATGGGCGGAATTGAAACTACTCAGGAAGCACATGTAGAAGGACAAGAGCAAGAATGTAATTCCAGAGAATTTGGGTCCAAATGGTGAATTTGGGGAGGATGCCAGTTCATAATCAGAAATGACTTATCTGGTAAGACCAGAGGCATGATATAAATGAAGCCCCTCGGTGCTATCGAGCATTGGTTTCAAAGGCTGGAATTGTCAAGTTCAATCATTCCTTCCGTGAACAACTCAAGCAAGATTTAATCATCCGCAATGGATCAATATTACGCCAGACACCACAGTATCTGGGTCATAAAACAAAGCCCTGACCTCTGAGAACTTATAATTTATTTGCCAAAATAAATCTAACCTGAAACAACTGAGAAAGTGTACGAGTTGCTGCGTATGGTACATGATCACTAAAAGTGCTACGGTGAGGCACTGAAGAGAGAATGAAGTGAAACCCTTGTAATCAGGAATGAATTTGTGAAGAAATTGAGGCAAACAGGTTCAGTTGGTAGAATTTGGATAGGGAGAGGGGATTCAAGGTACAACATATCGAATCGAATGCTTTTGATGGGAAGTAAGGAGGCAGTGGTAGACATCAAAGGCAACCACCTTGCAGACCCCATATGTGTGAAACGGAGCAGGTTGACCAGGAAGCTGGTGAAGAGTAAGCTTTAGGGCTACACATTTACCTTCATAATTTGGTAACATTTTTCTTCAGGAGCGCTCTCATGATTGCATAAGTCCAGGCCTCACACAGCCCAGCTCTATTCCACCCCTTTGTGGTAGCTCTTTCCAAGGCAAATTGTAGTTCCTGTGTTTGCATGCCTGCATCTCTCTGGAGGCAGAGGGTTTCACTTGGTCATCTTAGTATCCACAGCAGGAAATGATATAGGAGTTCAGCTAATGGTTATTTCAGTCTAGTGACGGTGACAAAGTTGTGAAGTGTTGAAGAATGCTGGGGGATATTGGCGCAGCCTTGGATTGGGATCAGGTCCAATGCATTAGGCATGGGAGGGTGGTTCCCAGCTGCTGAGTGGAGAGTGGAAGTCCTGGGGGAAGAAAACGAACCTCACTGGAGTGTGCAAATGGATTCGAGGAAGAGATACCAAAGGCGGGGAACAGGCTGAATGGTGGTTTATCAAAGCCAGGGAGAGGGGAGGAAATACTCAGTCTGAGCCTCATCATCCTGTAGCCCCTGTCACTATTTATGACTTTTGGACTCAGGTCACACAAATCTTTTTGTTCAGCATAGTTGTGGGTGGCTATGCAAAACAGCTGCATCCATCCCTCCTCATTTCATGATGGAAGTTTCAGGTCTTTACATCTTGCCTTTTACAAACTCATGGCTGCCTGTTGTCTGCATGCCTGTCTCCCTTGCTGGTCCCTGAGCATCCACCTTTGGCACATAATGGGTTTCCTGTGTGAGCAGTGGTCTTATTCCATGCACTCATTGGTAGGATGCTGGAACCAACAACCTCTTTCTCTCCTGTACCCCTCTCTCAATCCAGACAGGCTTTCATTTTGATATTTAATAAGAAAAACATGGAAAGCTTAAAGCCTCAATCTTAGAACCCATTGTCCCTGTAGCACTTCAAAGAAACGTATACTGAGAATTAACTAGAAACATGGTGTTGATTTAGCTTGAAAAGGGGTTTAAATGTGGTATTGCTTGCATCTTTGAACTGAGACATTAACATGTCCTAATAATTCAGCGAGTCCTTTATGGCAAGATAAAATGTTGATCTGTGGATTTTTTTTTTTTTTTTTGAGACACAGTCTCACTCTGTCACCCAGGCTGGAGTGCAGTGGTGCAGTCTTGGCTGACTGCAACCTGTGCCTCCTGGGTTCAAGTGATTCTAGTATCTCAGTCTCCTGAGTAGCTGGAGTTACAGGCACACACCGCTATGCCTTGCTAATTTTTGTATTTTTAGTAGAGATGGGGTTTAGCCACATTGGGCAGGCTGGCCTCGAACTCCGGACCTCAAGTGATCTACCTGCCTTGGCCTCCCAAATTGCTGGGACTATAGGTTTGAGCCACCATACCTGGCCTTATCCGTGAATTCTTAAGCCAAGGCAGAGTTAACCAGCGTATGGGAAGAGAGGACGAGGCCTTTGACATGCTGTTCATGACAGTGGTGTGAATGTAGATGGGTCTCTACTATAAACATGATGTGAGCAAGTTCTCTGCAGATGGAGACAGCTGGTTACAGGATTTCAGAGAACAATTCTGGAAGCACTGATGATCCAGAGCAGTTTATAAGATGTAAGCAGACCAGCTGACTGCTACTATTAAATGCCTTCATAATCAGCCTTTTTTCTGTAGCTCCAGGCCTGGAGCCAGGTGATGGAGATCCTAGGTCACCCTTTGTTCTGAGAGGAATTTCAACTCTCAGAGCACAGTGGCCTCCTTATTTCCGTAAGAGCTATGGTGTCTCCTCTGTGCCCTCTCTGGCTGGATACTGCTCTCTAAATGGATATTTATTTATTTATTTATTTGAGACAGAATCTCACTCCGTTGCCCAGGCTGGAGTGCAGTGGCACTATCTCAGCTAACTGCAACCTCTGCCTCCTGGGTTCAAGCAATTCTCCTGCCTCAGCCTCCTGAGTAGCTGGGACTACAGGCACACACTGCCATACCAGGCTAAGTTTCTGCATTTTAGTAGAGACAGGGTTTCACCATGTTGCTCAGGCTGGTCTCGAACTCCTGAGCTCAGGCAATCTGCCTGCGTCGGCCTCCCAAAGTGCTAGGATTACAGGTGTGAGCCACCGCGCCTGGCCTCTAAATAGATTTTAAATGGTAATACAATCTTCAGACATGGAGAATCACTATTACTAACCACTTCCGTGCCCTAGAGGCACAAAATGGGCTATGCATTGCAGTTGTACCTTGGACATTGATTGCTGGTTTGACGTTGGACAAGTTGCTTCACTTCTCTGAATTGTTATGCTAGACATCGCATGTCCAGATCACAAATCTCAACCTTAAAGTTGCAGGGTGGGACTTCCGGTTTCCAAGGACCCTCAGGCTCTGTAGGTCTACCAAAATTGCTGTAACCAGATTCTGGAAAGGCTCTGGGCCTGGCTGACCACACTAGATGGCATTTCCTTTGGCACTTGGCCTAACGTACTGGGGCCAGAGGGTCTCTCACACCTCTGCAAAGCTGGCCGCAGTTCCAGCCCATGCTCCCAACCCTCCAGCTGCCCTTCCTGTCTGTGTGCACATCTCACATGGAGGCCTCCCCAAGCCAGTGTAATAATTCCCAGTTTCCTTACACCTTCACAGGCAGGCAGTCCCAGAGTCCTGAGACAGAACAGAGCCCGATAGTAGAGTGAGCCTGGCTCTGCCTTCCTGGTCCCTGACAATCACCATGAAAAGAACATCGAAACTCTCTTTCCTCCTGCTCTTGTTCAGCAGAATGACACCTCCTTGCTTGGGGAATTGCATGAGTGTACTCACTTTCAGAAAATGTTCCTAACCTATTTTTATGTAACTATTAATCCTCAGTTCTGAGCATTATCAGCTCAGAAAGAAGGTGCCACGGGTCTCACTGTCAAACAAGGAGAGACTGAAATGTACTTCTGGGGAAATTTAAAATTCCAGGGCTTACACTATTTATCTTTAATATGTGCTCACAAGAAAGAAAACAGGAATTGCCTGACAGACGTCCCTGGGGAGCTGCAGGCCCACGCTATCCCGATGACCTGGTTTGCTGCAGAAAGCGTGGGCCGAGCAGAGCAGTACTAAAAGCATGCTGTTTTGTATGGTTTCACACACAAAGAATTTCAGTGTGTCTGTTCCCCAGAGTTATGATGGTCCACGTGGTAAGAATGAGAATATCTGTGAAAGAGAGAGGATCAGGTGATCAGGCCCAGGTGAGTTTACTAAACTCATTTGTCATCAGTCTAAAACCATTCAGCATGAATTTCTGAAGATGGTTAAAGTTTAAGTAGGCAGTGTCTACTTAAGAAGACTATTGGAAACTGCTAAAATCTGGTGTGATACTGTGCACATAGAAGCTTGATGCATATTGATTGAATGACTGAACGAATTCACAGTTGACGAAACATTGCCCTGTGGCCTGAGATCCAATCTGTTCCATGTAGTAGATAATCCAAAACAGAAAATGCATTTGCAAGCTCTCCTAGGGAAAGCCCCTGCACAGTGAAAGAACTTTTCTCTTACTTGCTTTTTAGGTGATGGGCAAAGAATAAGACAAAGTAAGGTGTCACCCAGAAACGGGACAAAAAAATGCTCTTCAAAATATATTTTAAAAATTGTAAAAAAAAAATAATGATCTTTAATCTCTGCTCCTCCAGCAAAGGAAGAGGTAAAAATTAATGAGGTGCATAGACCTGCCCTCTTCCTCTGCTTTGTCGTTCACTGCAGTTTTTCTTTCACTGGTTTTCATTCACCATGGAAGCCAGATTTGAGGTCTACGTCAGAGGTGGGCTTTGCCGGCTGCCATGGGAATCCCAGCTTTGGAGTGCTGTTGCTGTAGCTGCACTTGCCAGAATTTAAATTGGAGTGGCTGGTGTTTCCATGGAGCCTGTTGTCTTCAATTTTTATCATTAATAATCACATCTTCATTTGGATTAAATACCTCTTAATATTTGATTGGGGCTGAGCACAGTGACTCATGCCTATAATCCCAGCACAAGATGGGCAGATCACTTGAAGTCAGGAGTTTCAGGACAGCCTGGCCAACATGGTGAAACCCCATCTCTACAAAAAATACCAAAATTAGCTGGGCATGGTGGCATGTGCCTGTAAACCCAGCTACTCAGGAGGCTGAGGAACGAGAATCGCTTGAACCTGGGAGGTTGCAGTGAGCCGAGATCACACCACTGCACTCCAGCCTGAGTAACAGAACAATACTCTGTCTAAATATGTGTGTGTGTGTGTTTACTCTTGGTGGGAGAGTCAAGATACTTCTCTCCCCAACCACACTCCTTGCTTTAGCCACCGTTTCCAGAGTTGAATGCTATTTTAAAACTTTGGACAATGGTTGCAGGTTCTGCGGACATGAGAATGTTTGAATTCTGTCTTTCTGTGAGGTCTGGGATGAGCCACATCGTGGCAGAAGCAGGACAGAGTGACTTAGCACTGGGACCCCATGACTGTTGCACAGGAGCACAGCACACCTTCAGAGGGCCTTCTGAGTTCCCACGTTTCTCCCCACAGTGCCTCTGGTATAGTTTTCATCTCGATTTTCTCTCAGAAGGACCCGATTTCATAAAACTACCTTCATTCATTTCTCATTCAAGCAAATAGTCAAATATAATTAGGAACTTTTGTGTGTAATTATAATTGGTCTTGATGGTGATAATATTTTTGAGAAACATGGTATTAGTAAGATCTTAAACATTAAAAGCTAACATGATTTGCCAACAAATATCCTGTTTTATGAAATATATTCAAGTATTTTCTGAAGAGTAGCATACTGCAGCCCTTCAATAAGCATTTCTTCAATTGAATGAAAACAAAGGGCAAAATTACTAACTTTATAAACATTTAGCTTAGAATGTGACCTGAATTGACCAATTCTGTTGATCCATCCAATCTGCCATATTCCCAGAATAATTATATTCTATCAAAGTAGAGAAAACAAACATCAAAAACTCATAATGAATGAATCTAGCCTGGTCTTTTAAGCACATTTCTGCTCTCTGCTCAGAAACAAGAGACATTTAGTGCGTACATGTGAGATTTGCCTTCCATTATTCTAAGACAAAGATTAGGAGTATATTATACATTTAACAATGACTTTCATTTTTAAAACTGATTATAATGCTTTCATCGTTTGCCAAATTTTCAGGCTACAATAAACTTATGATCATATTAAAATTTTACTTGCCATCAAAAAGAATAATGCCCATAAATGATTGTAAAGTATTGAACAAATAATTTTGAGACAATAGTATTATAAATGGAGATAAACCTCATTGCTCCACTATTTGAAATGACGATTATGTCAAGTCCTGGTTCTGACTGTTGTGAATTAAAGGAAAGCATTTACTCTGCCTTTTAGGAGGAACTGAAGTTTACCTTGGATAATAAGGGAAAGCATCTTATTATGAAAAACTCCACACTAATGTGTGTAGAGTAAATGATAGCTTTAGAAAATAACCATTTTTAACCTCCAAGTAAATAATAGATTTTTACAAAAATTACCAATGGATTCTAGAACTATTGTGAATTGCAAATGACAAAACCATACCTATGCAATAGAAAGATGGAAGGGTCGCCATTAGCCAGTTAACTGAAGTTAGCATCCCAGTAGTATGTCTGGTGGGAGACAGTATGGGGCCACAGGGAAACACTGCAGCGTGTCCTTGCTCAGCACATCATCTGAACTCCATCACCCGCATGTGACTAGGCCATTAAACCAAGGGTCACTCGCACCTGTTTGCTAGGATAGTCCTGTTTTGTGCCTGTTATTTGGGTACAATTATTGGTAAGATCTCTTTCACTCTCAAAATATTCCAGTGTGGATAAAGTGCAGAGTTATCCTATTTATTCCTAACTTCCAGTATACAGGCAATACAGGAGACAGAAGAATAAGTGAAGTGGTACCATGAGGAAAGAAAGAATCGGTCAATCCAGAAAGCAGAACATTCCACAGAATCGCCCTGCTTTCTTCCCGGCATCGATGTCATGAAAATGAGGGGTAAAGTGGGGCTGGGGCTGGTGTGAGGCTTTCTAGACTATATGAAACCCAAGGCACACGCCAGTCAAAATGCAGTGCATGGACCTGGATTGGGTCTTGGTTTGGAATAACAAAAAATAAAAGCTTGAATGATAGATATATGGGAATCATTGAGGAGAGTTGATTGTAGAAGACATTGGAGAATTATTATTATTTTGTGAAATGTATGTGAAAGGAAGAAAATATTATTTATTATTGACCTCTGTAGTGGTAATTCCCTAACTGATGGTTACATATAACCATACTTATTTATATAACCATATTGATTTATATATATCCCCCGAATGTTACCCTGGGCAGGACAGCTATCTCTGTCTTGGCTCTGCTTTTTTGGGGAAACCAAAATAAGACCCAGCTAAGAAATCAAATGACCAAGAAGATGTGAGGAAACGTCTTTTCCAAGTGACTGATTGATTGTGAAAAGATGTACAAATGCATTCTGGCTGCAAAATTTTCCTGTGTTGAATTCAGAGACTTTTCACAAGGAAAGGCTTCAGATGAACATTGAGAAAATAAAAGCTGTAACAAAACCAAACCATAGTGAATATTATAAATGCAGCTCTAGTCCACAGGACAGTCTGGAAGTGTGGGGGGTGCAGAGGACTGCAGGCTGGTATTCTTTTGGACCTGATCTGTATACCCAGGTCACTGACAGTAAGAACATCTTCGGGGGTAGGAGGGTGATGAATGAATTAGACTCAGGCCACTACACTAAGTTGAGAGCCTTGACTCTTTTTTTTTTTTTTTTCTTAAATGGAGTTTTGCTCTTGTCACCCAGGCTGGAGTGCAATGGCAAGATCTTGGCTCACTGCAGCCTCCATCTTCCAGGCTCCAGCGATTCTCCTGCCTCAGCCTCCCTAGTAGCTGGGATTACAGGCGCCTACCACCACGCCTACCTATTTTTGTTGTTGCATTTTTAGCAGAGACGGGGTTACACGACGTTGGCCAGGCTGGTCTCGAACTCCTGACCTCAGGTGATCTGCCCCCTTCGGCCTCCAGAAGTGCTGGAACTACAGGCATGAGCTACCACGCCTGGCTCTTGACCCACTTTTAGACCAGTTGCAGGTGATGTGCCACAGAGACCTGTGTGTAGCTCCCATCACTCATGCCGGGCACCGGGGCAGTGGATGAGGGTCGCAGCAGCAAAGTCATTGCTAGAAAGGAAAACCAGTGCAGACAGCTCGATGGCCAGCTGACTAAACAGAGAGGAAATGTTGGGGAATTTCCAGGAGGGAGAACACAGAAAAGCAAAAAGTAGAGAAGAGAGAAAGGGAAGGACAAAGGTGTTAGCAAGTTTCCCTCCAGAGGTGGTGCTTGTTCTAGTCTCTTCAGAGCTGCCTTCAGAAAAGTCAGCTCAGGTCCCTGGAGATGACAGCAGCCATCGCCAGGAAGAGTGGGGTAGGTAGATGCAGAAAATTAACTCCCTTTTTGACATGAAAGTGACAGCTCTGTTTTGAGAGACCCGTGAAATAAGCCCATGTCACATAAGGTTTTCTTTTATAATAGAGTATCTATATAATTTTAATTTTTCTATAATAGGATTGTGTGCAGCACAAAACAATAGGCACATTCATGTTTATTCATTAACAGTCCTGGGGCTGTTTCTCATCAGTACTGTAAGTTCTTATTCAAGAAAGTTTTACTTACGCCCAACTATTTATAAAATTAAACAGTAAAGTCATCGCTTAACTTAAGACCTGCCTTTTAAAGTGTGAGTGTGTCAAGGAGACATCAATTCTCAGGGAATCTAATTGTTTCAAAACTATTGGGGTTTCTTTTTTTGTTAAATGAGAAAAAATTCCCTTGACTATGTGTGAGGGTGTGAGTGAGCTACATGTGTATCTGAGTGTATGAGTGTGTGTGAGTGAATATGTGTGTGATTGTGTGAGGGAGTGTGTGTGAGTGACCTTGTGATTGTGTAATGAGCATGTGTGTGTGAGGGAGTATGTGAGTGTATGTGTAATGAATGTGTGAGAGTGTGACAGTGTGAGTGTGTGTGGGCATGTGTGTGAGAGTGTGAGTGTGTGAGGAAGTGTATGAGTGTGTGAATGAGTGTGAGCATGTGTGTGTTGGAGGAGTGTATGAATGTGTGAGGGTCAGCATGTGTGTGAGGGAGTGCATGTGTGATAAGTGAGTGTGAGTGTGGGCATGTGTGTGTGAGTGTGGGGAGTGTATGAGTGTAATGAGTGTGAGTGTGAGCATGTGTGAGTGTGAGGGGTTGAGTGTGTGTGAGCTTATATGAGTGTGAGTGTGAGGAAGTGTATGAGTGATGAGTGACTGAGTGTAAGCATGTGTGAGTGTGGGGGGTTGAGTGTATGTGTGTGAGCATATGTGAGTGTGAGTGTGAGGGAGTGTATGAGTGTGTGATGAGTGAGTGTGAGTGTGAGCATGTGTGGGAGTTGAGTGTATGAGTGTGTGTGAGAGCATGTGAGGGTGTGTGAATGTGAGTGTGTGAGGAAATATATGAGTGTGTGATGAGTGTGTGAGCACATGTGAGCGTGGAGGTTGGGTTGTGTGTGTGAGCATATGTGAGTGAGTGTGAGGGAGTGATGAGTGAGTGTGAGCATGTGTGATTGTGGAGGTTGAGTGTATGTGTGTGAGCATATGTGAGTGTGTGAGGGAGTGTATGTGTGTGATGAGTGAGAGCATGTGTGAGTGTGGGGGGGTTGAGTGTATGAGTGTGTGAGAGTGTGAACATATATGTGTGTGAGCATGTGTGAGTGTGAGCGTGAGTATGAGTGTGTGATGAGTGTGTGTGAGTGTGAATGAGCGTGCAAATGCGTGAGTACAGCCATGTTGCCCAACAGTAAACGAGGCCGGAGTGTGTAGTCAAATGCCTTGAGTTGAAATCCTGTCTCTCTCTGCTTCCTACTAGTTTTGAGACTAGACTGACATTAATTTTTGTGAGACTGCTTTTAGGGCTGTAAAATAAACATAATACCTATTTTACAGAAGTTTTGTGAAGCTTGAATGAGATAATTTGGGTGAAGTGCCAATCCCAGTACCTGGGCCATCCTGTGTCTAACAGATGCAAGTGACTGTCATTTTGTGCTCATCTCCTTTTCTTCCGATGAATTTTGATGCACAAACCTTGTAAGATGGTCTGTATTCATTTGGAATATCAGAGAACTACATGCAGAAGGAAAAGTGGCAATGCCAGCCCTTGCACGTTTATCTAAATGCCACCACTTGGCTGAGATGCTCCATAAGGTCACAGCGACAGGGCTTTGCGTGAGCCCCAACTGATGGCTTGCTCTCCTGCGAGTCTCTTGTCATGGAAAGCTGGGGGTGTGGAGAGCATAGGTTGTGTTGGGTGAGGCTGCAGGGAGATTTCAGGGAGCCCACTGTCAGCCGTGCAGCTGCACCCCATACACCCCGCCTCCAGGTCTCAGGCAGCAGGGAGGGGACTCGCAGGGTCTCCCACTGTCTGGAATGTCCTTTACTTGGCAAAATAACCTCTACTAATAAGAGCTTGCATTACGGTTTTTTTTTTTTTCCTGATTACAGGATTTTGGAATCTGTAAATGGAATTTTATCTTTTTCATATTGAATTATCTCTTTTCTTATAAAGCCCAGGATTTCTTACAATTAAGAAACAGAAAAGAATAAAAAGAATGGGACTGGGTAGAGAGAAGGCTTGTGGTGGTTTGGCTCATCCATTTAGTAATAATTCTTAGCCTGAAGCTCAGTGCCTTCAGTGATTAACTTCCATATAAAGCCCAGTTTCAATGCTTGGCCCGAGGCAGTCTTATAGTCTGTTGTATGAAACAATGTGAGGGCTTCGTTCTGCCTTTTCATACATATTGTGCTATTTTTGAGCATTTGAATCTGCATTATGAAATGGACATCTAATTCTTAAGGGGAATGAAGGGAACAGAGAACAGTCTGCCCCCACCCTGCCACCACTGTGCCTGCCAGCCTTGCTCACCAGACGGGAAGGGCTGGGAGATGTTTCACTCAATGGGAATCCCAGCAGAGAAAATAGAAGAGACACTTAAGACCTCTAAATATGTATTTGTCAGTAAAATCTATTGACTGCGTGAATGCTGGATGCCACAACAATCACCTACAAACATTTTAACTGCATTACATCAGCTAGGAGTGCTGGGCGATCCGCTGGAAATAGAGCGGCGTTTGGATGCTGGAGTCTGGAGTTGAGGAGACGCCTGGGCTGGAGATGTAACCTGGGTGTGGCAGCGTCGGGACCGCACAAGGCCTGATACTGGAGAAGTCACCCGGGACTGAATCTGGTGGAATCTGGGGCAAGGAGAGGAATCCTGCAGTGGAGACTGGGAAAGTGGAGGTGCCAGCCAAACAGAGGCAAACGAAAGCTTCCGAAGGAGACAGCGAGCCAGAGAGCCAAGTGCCTTGAGAGGAGGAGCATGGTGAGACCCCTGGTGACTTTCTGGTGGCGACAGAGCACCTGCACCGGGCCGCAGCAGTGATGCTGATCAACTTAGTTACTTCCCAGTTCCCTTAGAGGGAGCCACTCTGGCCCTCTGCAGTCTGTGTTCTGCTCCATCCAGAGGACATCTTTAGCAATGGCCTTCCACTTGACAGTGATTCATCCTCAGGATGAAAACCCAGCCTGGTTGTTAGATGTTTGCTCAGGTTTCACGTTTGCCTTCGGTGGATTAGAGCAAGTAGGGCAGGGGAGAATATTGCAGGCCTGAGAAGCAGCAGGTGTGGGAATGCAGGTGCATGACTGGGGGCGGCTCCCTGTAGACACTGAAGAACTGCGTCGGTGGGTGGGAGCCACCACCCCGGGGGACAGGAGTCACAACCCAGGGGGCAGGAGCCACTACCCAGCAGGCAGGAGCCACAACCTGGCAGGCAGGCGGGGCTGCATGAGGAGGGCCTGAGCCAGGCCCAGGTGATTGATTCCAC